TTAATGCTGCTAAGAGAGTAGACCTTAAAAGTTCTCATCACCAGAACAAAAAGGGTTATTATTTTTTTAAGTTTTTAAAATGTTTTTATTTATTTCTGAGAGAGAGAGAGACAGTGTGAGCAGGGGAGGGTCACAGAGAAAGGGAGACACAGAATCTGAAGCAGGCTCCAGGCTCAGAGCTGTCAGCCCAGAGCCAGATTTGAGGCTCGAACTCATGAGCCGTGAGATCATGACCTGAGCGGAAGCCCAACGCTTAACCAACTGAGCCACCGAGGCACTCCAAAAATAAACAAAAATTTTTAAATCACAATTAACAGTGCTAATAAAGGGCAGACAGATATCACGTGCCTCCTGATATGCACAGAGAAGGACAAAGTATCACTGCCAAAAAAAAAAATGTCTAATCGGGAGGAAACATCAGACAAATGCAAGTCAGGGATGTTCTATAAATAACTGGTATGTACCTTTCAAAAATGTCAATGGTGTGAAGGACAAAGAAGGACCAAGGAGCCGCTCCCGATGAAGGGGAGCTAAAGAGACACAGAAATAAAATGCAGTGCGTGATTCCGGATGGGGCACTAGTGGAAAACACAGCTGTAAAGGACACGGTGGAATATGGACTATAGATTAGATAATGACAGTGTGTCAAGGTCACATTTCCTGATGTTGCAAAAAGCGCTGTGGTGCTTGAGAGGTGGCCTTGTTCCCAGCGGAAGGCAAAGGCACACGTCATGTCTGCAACATACCACCAAACTATCCAGAAACAAATAAATAAAGTGTGTGTATATGCGTGGAAGAATATATATCATCTTTCTTTTTCCCTCTCTAGTGTGTATTATATTTATATATGTATATAAGTCTGTGTTTTATTGGGGCGCCTGGGTGGCTTAGTCGGTTAAGCATCCGACTTTCGCTTAGGTCATGATCTCGCGGTTTGTGGGTTCGGGTCCCGCGTCTGGCTCTGTGCTGACTGCCAGCTCAGAGCCTGGAGCCTGTTTCAATCTGTGACTCCCTCTCTCTCTGACCCTTTCCTGCTCACGCTGTCTCTCTCTCTCTCCTAGAAATAAATAAAAATATTTTAAAAAATAAAAAATAAAATTGTGCCAGGCACAGAGGGGGCCCTAATTGTCAACTACTGTATTGGCTACTCACCTGTTAGCTGCAGGTTCGTTCAGCCTTGGGAGCTCTTGAGGTTGCTAACAAGGTCAGCTTGAGGCCGCATTGTCTGGAAGCTTGACTGGGGCCACAGGATTTGTTTCCAAAATAGGACCCTTGGGGGCGCCTGGGTGGCTCAGTCAGTTAAACATCCGACTTTGGCTCAGGTCATGATCTCATGCTCTGTGAGTTCGAGCCCCACGTCGGGCTCTGTGCTGACAGCTCAGAGCCTGGAGCCTGCTTCAGATTCTGTGTCTCCCTCTCTCTCTGCCCCTCCCCTGCTCACACCTTGTCACTCTCTCTCACAATAAAGACATAAAAAATTTAAAAACAAAACAAAACAAAAAACAAAACAGGACCCTTGTTGTTGCTTGTTGGTGGGGGAGCAGTCTGGTTCTTGCTCACCCAGTGCAGGTCTCCCCGAAAGGCTACTTGAGTGTCCTCACAACCTGGAAGCTGGCTTTGCCCAGAGCAAGTGATATAATCAAGAACAAGACAGATGCGGGGCACCTGGGGGGGAGACTCACTTGGCTAAGCGTCCGACTTCGGCTCAGGTCATGATCTCGAGGTTTGTGGGTTCAAGCCCCTTGTCGGGCTCTGTGCTGACAGCCTGGAGCCTGCTTCAAATTCTGCGTCTCCCTCTCTCTTGGCTCCTCCACCGCTTGTACTCTCTCTCTCTCTCAAAAATTCAAATAAATGTTTAAAAAATTACAAACAAGAAAACAAGACAGAATCCACATGTTTTTTATGATCTAACCCAGGAAGTCGCACACACCATCGTTTCAATAATATCCTATTTTCTACACCAGAGGGAGGAACTATTTAAGGGCATGGATTATCAGGAGTCAAGGATCACTGGGCTGTTAAGGGACAAAGGCAGAGTGTCATGACTGCCAGGAGTACCGCTGTGAGTCACCTCGCCCAGCTTCAAATCCTCGCTCTGTCTGGATCACTGTGAGAACTTGAACAAGTACTTACTCTTTTATTCAGTCCTCATCTATAAAATAGAATAAGATTTCCTAACTCATTTGGAGTTGCTATTAGGATTAAGTGAACACATAATCACTTGAGGACAGTACGGACATAAATGAAGAACACTGTAGGTGTTTGCTATTTCTATCATAAGCAGCCTGTCTGCTGACAGACCAGCAATTTCCTGTCTCACCCGCCAGGGGACTCAATCATTGGGGATTAGTGAAGAGGGACTGAGGGGCCCCTAGTAACCTAGGTTCTAGAGACACAGATGGAAAGACCCCCCCCTTTTTTTAAGTAGCCTCCATGCCCAGTGCGGAGCCCAACATGGGCCCCAACTCACAACCCTGAGATCAAGACCTGAGCCAAGGGGCGCCTGGGTGGCTCAGTTGGTTAAGTGTCCAACTTCAGCTCAGGTCATGATCTCACTATTTGTGAGTTTCAGCCCTGCATAGGGCTCTGTGCTGACAGCTCAGAGCCTGGAGCCTTCTTTGGATTGTCTCCCTCTCTCTCTGCCCCTTCCCATGCTCACTCTCTGTCTCTCAAAAATAAATAAACATTACGAAACTATTAAAAAAAAAACTGAGCCAAGATGAAGAGTTGGCTTAACCAACTGAGCCACCCAGTTGCCCCTGAGGGCCACTTTTCATGAGAGCATGTATGCTGCCAGGCTGAAATCCCCCAAAGGAGAGGAGTCAACTGCCCACAGACAGACAGAAAAAAAAAAAAGTCCATTTCACTGCTTCCCTGGTTTGGTGAGAGATTCCAGGCCCTATGTCACCTCTTTTTTTTTTCTTTTCTTTTTTCTCATATGTCACCTTTCTGATGCTATTTGCTTTGACTAAAGTAGCCAACCTGGTGGATAGGACTATCTGACCCCTGTTATGGTGCCAGTACTATAGCTGTCACTCAGTAGGTACTCAGGAAACAACCGATCAGGGCGCCTCAGCTCAGGTCACGATCTCACGGTTTGTGGGATCGAGCCCCATGTCAGGCTCTTTGCTGATTTCTCAGAGCCTGCTTGGAATGCTCTCTCTCTCTCTCTCTCTCAAAATAAATAAATAAACTTAAAAAAAAAGAAACAATTGATCAGAGTGATGATATCACTGCTGGGTCAGAGAGTATGTTCCACAGAACAGTTTTTATTTATTATTTAAAAAAGGTTTTTAACATTTATTTATTTTTGAGGGGGGAAAGGGGAAGAGAGAAAGGGAGACACAGAATCTGAAGCAGGCTCCAGGCTCCGAGCTGTCAGCACAGAGCTGGACTGGGGGCTCGAACTCACAAACTATATGAGATCGTGACCTGAGCGGAAGTTGGACACTTAACCGACTGAGCCCTTCAGGCGCCCCCCAGGCGCCCCCCAGAACAGGTTTTAGAATGCAATCCAGATCCAGATCCAGGTCCCTGGAAAAATTCTTCAGCATGTTCACAGCAGGTGCCTCTAAGAGCTTCTGGCATGTTCTGTGCCCTGGGGCACAGAGGAAGCAGCCCCTGAAAAGCGAGTTGAGAGAAAAGGCTGTCGGGTTGAGAAAGTGAGTGATCGTTTCTCTCAGTGCAAGAAGCCTCGAAGAAGATCACACACTCTGACAGTTGTACCACCGCCTCAGAGAGAGGCCAGCACCTGGGCTGTGGACAGAGCAGCTGCCAGGGCAGATGGTGGCTGTCTGGAGCTACTCCATGCAGACATTTTCCTCGCTGTCCTTCCCATCTGCCTGTCACCGCTGCCGGGATCAGCCATCCTGGCATGCGGCCCGGGGCTGGGGCCAAGTGTATGAGTGGTGACCCACACGTCAGCCCTGGGGCACGCAGCTTCAGATTCCAGAGGCCGGGCTGGCTCTGAGCCCTGCTGAGTCAACTCTGTTCCTCTAGCCCGGGTGCCAAGCCAACCTGCCCAGGGTGCTTCCTGGCAGGCAAGGTTTTCTTTGCCAGTCTCAATTTCCTGACAGAGTATAGTGGAGCTGGCGGGGAGGGAGGGGAGGAATTTAGTCCACGTTTGTTAAATGTGCCTTTTGAAATGAGCACAGTCCAGCCCCACAGCCTCGCTTAGTTCTTCCTTTTTTCCAAGCTTATCCAGGCTCAGAGTGTAGGGCTCTCTGGTACAGAACAGAGGACTGCTTGTTGAATGAGTGAATGAGTGAATGAATGAATGAGTGAATGAGTGAATGAGTTAGGAGCCCTTCTTTCCGTGCATTACCTCTTCCTGTTCCGAGGTTTCTGCTTTGATACAGGAAAAGACTCGCGACCCTGAAGACCCGGGGTGGGGGGCGAGTGGGGGAGGGGGCCCTGAGCTGGAGTCTGGCCACCCCGAGGGCACTCGGTTGTGGGAAGTGGGAAGAGGGAAGTCAGGGGATCCGACGAGCACAGCTGCGATGACGAATCCTTGAGCGGGAAGGAGCGTGGGAGCCCAGAGACGTCTCCCCGCGGCCCAGCCAGGTCTTGAGCTGCTCTCCGGGAATCCGGAGGCGGGGATGTTTGAGGTGTCCCGGGCACGCCCGGCCTGGCTGCACTCAGCGCACCGGGGCCCTTTCTGTTTCGTCTCTCTCCCCAGCTTTTGACTTGCGGAGGAGGGGTCAGGGGTCCCGCCAGGCCCTTCAGTCCCCACTGAGCGCGGCGGGTGCAGCGCAGAGGCGTTTGGATTCCGGTGTTTGGATTCCGGTGTTTGGAAGGGGGTCCCCCGTGAAGGTCCTGTCTTCCACAATCTGCAGAGAAGGCGCTCCAGGGCCTGCTCGAGAGGAGCCAGAGTTTTGCACCCCGAGGGCGCCCCCCTCGCATAACTACCCGGCCTCAGGCTCCTAGAACCCTACCCCCGCCCTCACGCCCCGCCCCCGGCACTCCCTGCGCCCCGCCTCCGAGGCTCCCCTTGCCCTGTCTCCGTGACTTATATAAGGGGGCGTCGCGGGGCCCAGACAAGCCCGAAAGGCTGGCGCCTGTGATCCGAGGCTTCCTCGCGGCTTCCGAACGCGAACGAGTATCCGCCAGGGCGCCCGCGTCGCCAGCCCTCGAGCCACCACCCACCCCTCCGCCTTCGCCTTGCGCTCGCGCGTTCCCGAGTCCGCGCGTCCAGGCCACCCGGAAGGATGCGCTGCGCGCCGACGGCCCCCGCAGCCCTGGTGCTGTGCGCCGCCACCGCCGGGCTGCTGAGCGCGCAGGGCCGCGCGGCGCCCACCGAGCCCCCCGAGCCGCCGCGCTTCGCGTCCTGGGACGAGGTGAACGTGCTGGCGCACGGGCTCCTGCAGCTCGGTCACGGGCTGCGCGAGCACGTGGAGCGCACCCAGGGGCAGCTGGGCGCGCTGGAGAGGCGTCTGCGCGCGTGCGGGGCAGCCTGCGCGGAGTCCGGAGGCGGCGCCGCGACCCCCGGTCCGGGCCCCCGCGCTGCCGCTGCCGCCGAGACCCTCGGCAGCCTGCAGGTACGTGCGCTCCTGCTGCCCTCCTGCGGGTCTCGAAGAACGTGGGCGGGAGGGGGGACGCACACCCGCCCCCCCCCGGGCTCTCCCCCCACCCCGGTCTCTAAGGAGGGGGGTTGGAATGCCAGGCGAGCGGTGATGAATGGGAGAGGCTGGCCGCACAAGGCCGGGTCCTCACCGCCGTGCGCGCGCTCTCCCAGACTCAGCTCAAGACTCAGAACGGCAGGATCGAGCAGCTCTTCCACAAGGTGGCCCAGCAGCAGCGGCACCTGGAGAAGCAGCAGCTGAAAATAGAGAAGCTGCAGAGCCAGGTGCGCATGCCCGGTCCGGGGTTGGGGGCGGCGAGGGGGGAGAGGCAGAAGCTTGTCCTGTGGGCGTGCACTCAGAGCCAGCCAGACCTGACATCCTCCTTCTGTCCTGTGCAGGTGAGCCACCTGGGCCACAGGATGGCCAAGACCGGCCGGAGGAAGAGGCTACCCAAGATGGCACAGCTCGCTGGCCCTGCTCACAATACCAGCCGCCTGCACAGTGAGTGTCCAGCTCCCCTGCTGTCTGTCCTCCGGCAGCCCCTTCCCCCCAACCACTGCCACACCCCCACTTACCATTCCCGTCTCCCTCCTTGTCCGCTCCACCTTACTGAGAAGAGAGGCCCTGGCCCCGCGGTCCGGTGGGCTCACTGGTCTCTGGTAAAGGGCTGATGCGGGAACATCCCACCTCATCCCTGGCCCTGGCCGGCTAGGCCACCCTACCCTTCTTCCTGGCAAGCCAGTGGCTCTCCCCGGAGCCCTGCTGGCCACTAACTAGAGCAGGGCGCGGGGTCTTTAGGAGGGTCCAAGAGGGACTTGAGCAGCAGGGGTGGGGGGAAGGGGGCGGTGCAGCCCGGAGACACCTTCCGGAAGGTTGGAATCTTCTCTGAGGACATACTGGTGGACAGGAAGGTGCCAGCTACGGAGCCTGGAGTTCTGACTGCGTGAAGAGAGAGGCTGCCTGCGACGGGGATTCTGAGCCCCCCTCCATCTTGGAGTGTAGCGCTAGGAGACAGGCCTCGGGCAGGGAACCCCCATCTCCCTGGCGGGACACACCACTCACTCTTGCATCTCTGACAAATCCAGGGCCCCTACCCCCCCCCCACGGTGCCTCGCTCCTCTCTCGGTCCTGAAGTCCCTGATCATACCCGCAGAGACCATTGCCACCGTCACCGTCTGGGTCCTTCACTGCGCATCCCAGATCGCCCCAAACCTCCTGCCCCCGCAGCGTGTCTCTGTGGGTCTGGCACAGGCTCCCAGCTCCTGGTGTCTCTGTGCTTCCCCCCCCCCCACGCCTTAGTTCAGGGCGCCAGCCTCCCTGTGGTCCTCCTACCCCATCACCCCGCCTGGCATCCGTGGTCGCGTGCAGCCAGCTGGGTGAAAGTTCGGATTCCACCTTCACACCCCGGGGCTGCTTCCTGGCTGCCGCTGCCGGTTCTCTAGTCTTGAGGGCTCCCCTCCCCCCTCCCTCCCCCCACTCTTCCTCCTTCCCCCACCAGGCCAGTAAGGGGCCAGTACACGTCCCAACCCCCCCCCCAGGGGCTTCGGAGCCCGGCCAGCAGGCCGGGGTCTGGGCTGGAGGCTGTGAGGATGGGGGGTGCGTGGGTTTGGGGAGTCCCAGGCGCGAGGCTCAGCCCTGCCAAGTAGGGGAAGGTTCGGAGCTGGAGGAGACAAACAGCTGGTGCTAATGGAAGCCACGTTGGTGGTTTGGCCCGCTGCCTCCCCCGATTGGAAGAGAGGAAAGTAGGGGAAAGGGGAGCTGCTCCAGGGGCCGGAAAATGTCTCCAGTCACCCTGGGCCCGCCCCGTTCCCCCTACCCCCCCCATTCCCCTTACCCCCCCCCCACTTCAGCGTGGACTTCCCCTCCCCCGGGCGACCTTTTCCCTACTTTCCGGGCTGAACTGGGGGCGGGGATTTCCCGAGCCTTTGGACGCGCCCCAGCCATCCCTCCCTCCTCTTTCCCTCCCAGGCTTCCTCCTTGGTTCCTTAGCCCTCCTTGCCTTCCCCTTCCCGCACCTGGGATCCCAGGTGGCGCCCCTGACTTTGGTAGCCTCTTGCGGAGCCCCCGCCTGAGGAGGCAGAGCGCTGCTGCTCAGCTCCACTCCCACCTTCTCCACCCTGGCCCAGCTTCTCAGTCACCCATGCCTCCAGTCTTTATTAAACACCTACTGTGGGCTAGAATCGGCCCCGGGCACTGGTGCCAGACTGTGGGCACAGAGCCCCTCGGTCCCTGGCCCCATGGAGTCCTCATTCAGTGGCGGAGAGACCACTGGATGACTCCCCTGGGGTGGAGGGCAGGAAGTCCGCCATGCTTCTTTTGGGAGTCTGGCCTGGTCTGGGGGGTCAGGGAAAGCATCCCTTCTAGAAGCGGGGATCTTAGAATGAGGCAAGAAGGGCTTGAGGGAAAAGGGTCCCAGGCATTGTGACTGGCATGTGCAAAGTCCCTGGGGCAGGAGGGTGTGTGGTACAAGGCTGGCTGTGAGGCCCGAGGAGAGAATGCAGTGTGGGAGGAGGAAGGATGGTGGATGGCGCAGGGGCCGTCCAGGACAGGGGATGTTGTGAACCCAGGATTGGCCCCCTCATGTCCCCTGTCACCCACTGCCCAGCCCCTCACATGGCTGTTTCCTGAGTCCCCTCCTGTCTCAATTTCCCCACCCCTCTCTCTGCCCGCCCTTCAGGGCTGCCCAGGGACTGCCAAGAGCTGTTCGAAGAGGGAGAGCGGCAAAGTGGACTGTTCCAGATCCAGCCCCAGGGGTCCCCACCCTTCCTGGTTAACTGCAAGATGACCTCAGGTAGGGTGTGTGGCCCGCGGGGGTGCCCCGTGGGCCCTGTTGCCATTCGGTCAAATGGAGCTCCCCGCCACTACCCATGGTCGAGCCACGTTCAGTGGGCCAGGAGAAGCTTCCTAGATTTCTACTGCTCCCTCTGTCCGGGCCTCCCTCCCGGGGTCTTGGGACCATGATCTAGGCTGAGCCCCTTGCCCATTGGCCAGCCCACCCTTAACCCCCTTCCTCTAGTCTTGCTGGGGTGAATGAGAAGAGCATTGCCCTCTCTGGGTTTGGAGGCGGCTTGGGGGTTGAGAGCCAGATGGGAAGTGGGGTCCCCTGCGCAAAGGGCCCTCCTGATGACATTGCACCTTTCCGGGCAGATGGAGGCTGGACCGTAATTCAGAGACGCCAGGACGGCTCCGTGGACTTTAACCAGCCCTGGGAAGCTTACAAGGCTGGCTTCGGAGACCCCCAAGGTGCGGGTTTCCCCCGGGGCCAGAGGCAGCGAGGGGAGGAGGGGCGAGGAGGTGGGTCTGTCTCACCCGGTTGGCCTCTCCCCTGTAGGTGAGTTCTGGCTGGGCCTGGAGAAGGTTCACCGCATCGCCGGGGGCCGCGGCAGCCGGCTGGCCGTGCAGCTGCGGGACTGGGAGGGCAATGCCGAGTCGCTGCAGTTCCCCGTCCATCTGGGTGGGGAGGACACGGCCTACAGTCTGCAGCTCACAGCTCCCGTGGCTAGTGAACTGGGGGCCACCACTGTCGCCCCCAATGGCCTCTCCCTGCCCTTCTCCACTTGGGATCAAGACCATGACCTCCGTCGGGACAAGAACTGTGCCAAGAGCCTCTCCGGTGAGCCAGCCTTGTCCCTACCTGTCCTGCCTGCCCCGCAAGGTCAAGACCACGCCTCTCTGCCTTTGTGTTTCCCTGTCCTGCCTTCAGTGCCGAATTCTGTCCATTCTCTGCCCGCTTCTCCTCACTTGCTGTGTGTCTCTGGGCAACTGACTTACCCTCTCTCATCTTCAGTGTCCCCGTCTTTAAAACTGGGTACAGCCATGGTGCCCACTCCTTAGAATTATCTTGAGATGACATTTGCGGCCTAGTGGCTGGCATGTGGCCAAGCCACCAAGATAAACCTTGTCCTGTCCTTTTTTTTTTTTTAGTTTGTTTTTATTTATTTGGAGAGAGCAAATGGGGGAGGGGCAGAGAGGAAGAGGGAGAGAGGGAATACCAAGCAGGCTCCTCGCTGTCCGCACAGAGCCTGACACAGGGCCCAAACTCACCAACCCTGAGATCATGACCTGAGCTGAACCTAAGAGTTAGATGCTCACCCGACTGACCACCCAGGTGCCCAGGCTCTGTAAAGTGAAGCGTATGAAATTGCTTTCTGGTGGATCAAAAAATGATTGAATACTAGTAATTTTACATGGTCTGATCGAATATAAATTGAAGAAATGGATACTAATCATAGAAAGTCGTTTTTTAATGTTTATTTAATTTTGAGAGAGAAAGCGTTCATAAGAGTATGTGCAGGGGAGGGGCAGAGAGAGGGAAAGACAGAGAATCCCAAGCGGGCTCCACACTGTCAATGCAGATGCAGGGTTCGAACTCACGAACCCTGAGATCATGACCTGAACTGAAATAGAAAGTTGGACGCTTAAGCTACTGAGCCCCCCCAGGCACCCCAGAAAGTCTTTAATAAATGTTTCCCAGGTGTCAGGTACAGAGAAGTAATCGGCCACAGTCACAGACACAAAAGCTATAGCTACCGGGAAGGGGGCCCAGAGCCCCTGAAACTCCTTTGTCACAAGCTGGGGTTCCTCAGCACGATGTGTGACAATCCCTAAAAAAGTCTTCCCCTCTAAGGTTTATAAAGTCCGGGGACGCCTGGGTGGCTCAGTCGATTAAGCATCTGACTTGGGCGCAGGTCATGATCTCACGGCTCAGGAGTTGGAGCTGCGTGTCGGGCTCTGTGCTGTCAGCATGGAGCCCGCTTCGGATCCTCTGTCCCCCTCTCGCGCTTGCTCTCGGTCTCTCAAAAAAAAAGACATTAAAGAAAAAAACAACTTTGTGTCGTCCTACAACCAGCTTCATCCCCGCCCCCCCACCCCCCAGCCTCAGTGGAGACACAGGGACCCCGGCCTGACCAGGCTCTGTTTCCTCTGACCCCGGCAGGTGGCTGGTGGTTTGGCACCTGTGGTCATTCCAACCTTAATGGCCAGTACTTCCGCTCCATCCCCCACCAGCGGCAGCAGCGTAAGAAGGGCATCTTCTGGAAGACCTGGCGAGGCCGCTACTACCCACTGCAGGCCACGACCATGCTGATCCAGCCGACAGCGGTGGGAGCAGCCTCCTAGCCTCCCCGCTGGGGCCTGGTTCCCAGGCTCGTAGAGGACAGTGACTTTGACCCTGGCCTTGCATGTGGCCACTCCCTGCCTCGAGGCAGGGGCTCAACACAGGGGCCATGTGGAGCCTCATGGACAGAGAAGAGGCTCGTGACTGGAGGTGCCCCCCTTTCTGAGTGGGGGGCCGCAGGTGACATCCTCTGGGGACAGAGCTACAGGGTTGCAGGACACAGACCCAGGAAGCGGGAGACGGAGGGGCGCCGAGACCCACTCTTCGCCCGCCTGAGGAGTCGAGGACGCAGAGGGACCACGCGGGGGCAGCTGAGCCAGCCCTCGATGGCGGATTCAGTCACATTGACTGGCTGGGGGGGGGTGGCCAGGGCTCCCATGGGCCCCCAGTGCCTTCACGGCGCTCCTGTGTGTGGGTGCTGTGGGGTGAGCCGGGGCCACTGGTGTCCGGGTGGAGCTCTCCAAATTCTTGCAATAAAAGCAACCTCGGAACATTTCGTTCTTCTTTGTCCTTCAGTTTGTTTTAAAGAGAGGGCAGTTTCAAAGTCCACATAAATGTTCCCAGGGTGGAGGGGAACACTCCCAGGTCCTTCGAGAACAACACTGAGTAGTCCGATCGCCTGACAACTGATTTCCATTTCTTCCATTTATTATTTCACAATGCGCATCTCCGTTTTTAGTTTCAAAAAACAAGACCCTCGTTCGGTCCTTCTGGAAGCAGGTAACAAAAAATGAGAACCCCTTGTCTTTTTTTGTTTTTAAGTTTATTTATTTGGAGGGAGATAGAGCATGAGTAGGGGAGGGGCAGAGAGAGAGGGAGAGCGTGAAATCTGAAGCAGCCTCCACCCTGTCGGTGTGCAGAGTCTGACCCAAGGCACCAACCCACAAAACCCTGAGACCGTGACCTGAGCCAAAATCAACAGTTGGATGTTTAACCGACTGAGCCACCCAGTGCCCAAGAACCCTGTCTTCATCATACTTATACATATGACTCACAATGAACTTTTCGCACCCAGACACCTGATAGAAATACAATGTGTGAGGCGCTTGGGTGGCTCAGTTGGGTGGGCATCTGACTCTGGCTCAGGTCATGATTTCACAGCTCGTGGGTTTGAGCCCTGCGTCGGGCTCTGTGCTGACAGCTCAGAGCCTGGAGCCTGCTTTAGATTCTGTGTCTCCCTCTCTGACCCTCCGCTGCTCATGCCGTCTCTCTCTCTCAAAAATAGATAAATTTTAAAAAACATTTAAAAATTTTTAAAACAATGTGAATCACACATTTAATTTTTTACAATAGTCACATTTAAAAAAGTGGGGGTGTAGGGACGCCTGGGTGGCTTAGTCGGTTAAGCGTCTGACTTTCACTTAGGTCATGATCTCACGGTTCGTGGGTTCGAGCCCCGCGTCAGGCTCTGTGCTGACTGCCAGCTCAGAGCCTGGAGCCTATTTCAGAGTCTGTATCTCCCTCTCTCTCTGACCCTCCCCTGCTCACGCTGTCTCTCTCTCTCTCCTAGAAATAAATTAAAAAAAAAAAAACTATTAAAAAAATAAATAAAAAAGTGGGGGTGGAGAACAAAGTTAAAAAAAAGAAACAGATGAAATTAATTTTAGAAATGTATTTTTATCAAACCCAAGGGAACCAAAATATTATTTCAACATGTGAGTGACATTAAGTTATTAATGAGATATTTGACATTTCTTTTTTTTGTACTAAGTCTTTGGAATCCAGTGTTTATCCTTACAACACATCTTACTTTGTCTTTTTAAAAAATTTTTTAACATTTACTTATTTTTGAGAGACAGAGAAAGAGCAGGGAAGGGGCAGAGAGAGACACACACAGAATCCGAAGCAGGCTCCAGGCTCTGAGCTGTTAGCACAGAGCTCGACATGGGGCTCGAACCCATGAACCGTGAGATCATGACCTGAGCCGAAGTCAGTTGCTTAACCGACTGAGCCACACAGGTGACCCAATTTTTTTTTTTTAACGACACATCTTAATTTGGACTTGCCATATTTCAAGGGCTCAGTAGCCAAGAAGCTCATGACCACCATATTGGACAGTGTACCTCTAGTGTATACATTAATGCAGTTCTTTGGCTAAATTCTTTACAGTTTTTGCCACATCGGCCTAAATTTTCCTTTAAGTTGGCTCTTTTATTTTTTATTTAAAAAAAAGTGTGTTTATTTTGAGGGGGGACAGGCAGAGAGAGTCAGAGGGAAAGACAGAATTCCAAGCAGGCTCAGCACGGCCTGCACAGAGCCCTAGTGGCTCAACTGGTTAAGTGTCTAACTCTTGGTTTTGGCTCAGGTCACGATCTCATGGTTCATGAGTTTGAGCCTCACATCGGGCTCTGTGCTGCCAGGTGTGGAGCCTGCTTAGAACTCTTTTTCTCTGCCCCTCCCCTACTCTCTCCTCTCAAATTAAATAAATACGCTTAAAAAAAGAAGAGAGACAGGCTTAACTCACTGAGCCACCCACGTGCCCCTAAGTTGGCTTTTAAAAGTTGGCCTTAGAAGACATGAACAGACACTTCTCCAAAGAAGACATCCAGATGGCCAACAGACACATGAAACGATGCTCAGCATCCCTCCTCATCAGGGAAATACAAGTCAAAACCACACTGAGATACCACCTCACTCCAGTCAGAGTTGCTAAAATGAATAAATCAGGAGACTATAGATGCTGGTGAGGATGTGGAGAAATGGGCACCCTCCTACACTGTTGGTGGGAATGTAAGCTGGTGCAGCCCCTCTGGAAAACAGTGTGGAGGTTCCTCAAAAAATTAACAATAGAACTCCTCTATGACCCAGCAATAGCACTGCTAGGAATTTACCCAAAGGATACAGGAGTGCTGATGCCTAGGGGCACAGGGACCCCAATGTTCATAGCACTCTCAACAATAGCCAAAACATGGAAAGAGCCTAAATGTCCATCAATGGACAAATGGATCAAGAAGATGTGGTTTATCTATACGATGGAATACTACATGGCAATGAGAAAGAATGAAATCTGGCCATGTGTAGCAACATGGATCGACCTTGAGGGTGTTATGCTGAGCGAAAGAAGCCAGGCAGAGAAGGACAAATACCATATGTTTGCACGTATAGGAGGACTAGGAGGAACTTAACGGAGGACTGTGGGGGAGAGGGAGAGAGGCAAACCATGAGAGACTCTTGAATGCTGAGAACAAACTGAGGACTGATGGGTGGGGGGGAAGGGGGTAGATGGGCATGGAGGAGGGCACTTGTGGGGATGAGCACTGGGTGTTATATGGAAACCAACTTGACAATAAACTATTTGTAAAAAAATAAATAAATGAAAAAAAATAGTTGGCCTTACATAAAAATACATAGAAATTCAACTAATATTTATGGAGTCCTTACTACATGCTCAAACCCTTGTACTAAGCGCTTGGAAACTAAATGCTAGTGAACAAAAGGTTCCTGCCCTCCCCAAGCTTACCTTCAAAGCCCCTCCAACTACACAGAGTTTGGCCTATAATTGATGATTCAAAGTGAGACACTTTTGGGTGGGTAAAAAAATACAAATAGTGGTTGACACTGGAAAAATGGGCGGAACGTGACTGAGAACGGACGTGAGGCAGCATTCTCCAGTGACAGTGATGTTCTGAACCTTGATAGAGATGGGTTACTCCGCCATATGCCTTTGTCTCTGCGAATCTACACTGAAGATTAATATTGCATTATACGTAATTTCCACCTTAGAAGAAAAACCTACAAAAAGAGCCATAAACAAATATTGAACTTGAGTTAATGATATGGATGCTGAAGTGTTTAGAGGGGAAGTAGACTAATGTATTTAATTTTATTGTTTTCCAGCGTTTTGAGATATAACTGACATGATATTGTGTAAGTTTAAGGTGTACAATGTGTTGATTTCATACACCTATATATTGTAAAATGATTACCACCCTGGTGTTAGCTAACACTTCCATCACATCATAGTTCTTTCTTTTTTCTTTTTTGTGGTAAAAACATTTATTTATTTTGTTTATTTTATTCATTGAGACAGAGAGACAGCACAGGAAGGGCGGGGGTGGGGTGGGGGAGAGAATCCCAAGCAGGCTCTACACTGCCAGCACGGAGGCCAATGTGCCGCTCGAACTCACAAACTATGAGATCATGACCTGAGCCAAAATCAAGAGTCGGACGCTCAACTGACTGAGCCACCCAGGCGCCCCTGTGGTGAGCACACTTAATGTCTACTCTCTTAGCAACTTTCAAGTACTAACTAAAATCACCGTGCTATACATCAGATTCCTCCAAATTTTCAACTTTCTTTGAAATCCATCAAAAAATATGACGATGGGTAGTTGGATACAGAGATGGATATGTAATAAAGCAAAATGTTAATAGTGGAATCTAGGTATTCTCTGTACAATTCTTTCCATTTTTCTACATATTTTAAAAACTTCACAATAAAATGTGGGCAAGAAAATTCTAGCCAGATCCTGTTGCCTTCTGAAGGCTCTCAGCCTCCCTCGGAGCTCCGTATAAAAAGGGGAGATGGGATTAGAAAACTGTTCAAGATGGATGTATGAGCAAGAAAGAGTACGGGGCACCTGGGTGGCTCAGTCGGTTGAGTGTCCGGCTTCGGCTCAGGTCATGATCTCACAGTTTGTGGGTTCGACCCCCACGTTGGGCTCTGTGCTGACAGCTAGCTCAGAGCCTGGAGCCTGCTTCACATTCTGTGTCTCCCTCTCTCTCTGACCCTCCCCTGCTCAAGGTCTGTCTTTCTCTGTCTCAAAAATAAAGTATAAAAATTAAAAAAAAAAAAAAGAGTAAGCCTCTCTCCTTGATAAATGATAAAATACTTCAAAACTGGGAAAAGGTCGAGACTTTCTCGACATGTGGTTCAATGCTATTTAATGCACTGCCTATAATTGTGACTCACATCTTATGGGCTGGAATAATGTGATGCCTTATCTCCAGGATACATGCTTGGGAAAGGCAACATCTGTCTGTGCCCTGAGGCCCAGCTGCTGTGTGTGTGTGTGTGTGTGTGTGTGTGTGTGTGTGCGCGAGTGCGCACGTGCATGCGTTTTTTTGTTTGCTTGTTTGTTTTTGTTTTTTTTTTTAATTTTTTTAATGTTTTATTTATTTTAGGAGAGAGAGAGACAGCGTGAGCAGGGGAGGGTCAGAGAGAGAGGGAGTCACAGACTGAAACAGGCTCCAGGCTCTGAGCTGGCAGTCAGCACAGAGCCCGATGCGGGGCTTGAACCCACGAACCGCGAGATCATGACCCAAGCGAAAGCCGGATGCCCAACCGACTAAGCCACCCAGGCGCCCCTGTTTTTGTTTTTTAAGTAGGCTTCGCACCCAGCGTGGGGCTTGAACTCACAGCGCTGAGATCAAGGGTAAGAAACTCCAGACACTTAGTCAACTGAGCCACCCAGGTGTCCCCCAGCTGCTGTTTTTAATAGGGGAATATATCTTTCCCATATGCCTCCTAAATGCTCCTCGAGGTAGTAGGGGCCT